GGCGGGCGGAGTGAGGACCAGGCGGATGCGCTCCACGCACAGCTCCGCGGCCTGCCGCGTCTCGCGGCACAGCGCCGCCAGCGTCAGGAAGCCGTGCGGCAGGTCCTCCACCACGCGCAGTGTCACGGGCTGGCCCAGACCACGCAGTCGCCGTGCGAACATGACCGAGTCGTCCAGCATGGGGTCCAGCGCGCACGCCTGCGGAATGGCCGGGGGGTGCGGTGGGGGGACACGGTAGAAGAACGAAGGGAGGGGGAATCACATGGACGTAGACATGGGGGTGCATGGAGGGAATAGATGGAGATGTGGGAAAGAAAAGAGAATGAGGTTAACTGGGCTCCTTGGCCTCTGTCCACTCTCTTCTACCCTCTCCCCGCTTCCCCGGAGACCCAGCTTTTCTCTGCAACTCTCCAAGCCTAGCGGCTGCCCCACTACCCGACCCCTTGGCCCTCAACCAAATCGCAAAAGAAAACGGCGGCCCTGACTCCGTCCTCCCGTTCCCAGACACTGTTCTCTCCTGGTGGCACACCTCTCCTCTCGGTTGGGCTACCTACTTCCCCCCACTCGGAGATCTCTTCCCCAGATGCACCTATGCCCCACCCCATCCTGCTCCTCAGAGCGGATACCTTCCCCGTCTGGCGCTCACCACAATGTGCACGGGTGGCAGGCTCTTCAGCATGTTGTCAGGCGCCAGCAGCGGTGACATAAAGGGGTTCTTGGCGATGGGCGATGAGTAGAGGGGCATCCGTGTAGCACCCTGGCTCGAGCGCCGTGGGTGGAAACCCTCAGGGAAGGCAGCACCGACGCCAGGGCCTCTGTCCTTGGTGCTTAGCTCATCTCTGGTCTCAGCCTCTTCAGGGACATCCCCGGGCCGCAATAAGAAGTTGACGTCCGAGGGTGTGGAAGGGCCAGGTGTCTCAGTGGACAGTGACATCTCAGGGATGCCTGAGTTCTCGGAGCTGCTCCTTAGGTTCAAGTCCTTCAGTGTCAGGCTCTTGAGGGAGTCTGTGCCCAGTAGGCCCTCGGGCTGGGCCAGTGCTGCTTCAGACACGCTGCGGCGCATTGGCTCTGTGAGAGGGGCAGGGTCGGGGTTGGACGGCCACGGATAAGCCTGGCTCTGGTAGCTGCGTGTGTGGGTAGCTGGCAGGGAGGGTAGTGGGGAGGGCAGTGGCCTGTGAGGAGGAGGAGCTGTATCCTCCGCAGCTGTGGAGCGCTGTGGAGGCCTAGGGTGGTCCCCCAGACTCCCCTGAGGGATGGGTGGAGAGTTCCAGGGGCCCCAGGTTGCAACTCCGAGGGGGGGTGGAGTGAGTTACACGGTGGTCTTGGAGGTGGGGCTGTGTCCTAGTGGAGGGTGTGTGTGCAATGACGGGGAAGGTTAAGTGCTGTTTACCTCTGCAAGCCTCAGTTTCTTCCTCTGTACAAAGGAGATAAAAATAGTTCTTAGTTCATAGGTGGTAAGGGCTCAGTGGGATAAGATATGTGGGATTAGGTACTGCTACCCCCAGGAGATTGTAATATGCCAGTATTAAGGTTTTATTCTTAGGCCTGGTGCCCTGTTCCAGCTCTACCCAGTCTCAGCATGAGGCCCAGCCAGCTTTTTATGACCATTTGACACAGGGTGTAAATGCATCAAAGTGATTTAAACAGTGAGCAGGCCCACAGCGCTTGAAAGGAGGCCGTGTTCACTGGGAGCTAACAAGTCTCGAGGGTAGATTAGATTCCCAGGGATCCTGCACCTGTAGCCACACAGATGTGCTCCCAAACATTTCCTTCATGTTCTTCGATTTTACCCCTTCCCTTTCAGTGACCAGGCAAGCAAGTGCCCAAATGATGCTAAAGATACGCTTCCAGCCTGCCTGGTGTGCCCACCTTAGCTTTATTAATTTCATCAGACCAATGCTGCTTATCAGTAGCACCAGGATCCTACATTCAGTTTTTTCACTTGTCTTTATAAATATACCAAGGCAAAATGCAAGATGATGTGAGAATAACCGCTTAAGTGTTCTGTGACCCAGAAGGTCACTGCAACAGGATTGCTGACACAGGGCACAGGGGTGCTGACGTCTTCTGAGAGCACCAGGTATTGTGCTGGGCACTTGATGCAAATAGGTGCATGCAGTCCTCATAACAACCCAATGAGGCAGGTACTCTTATTGTACCCATTTCACAGAAGAGGACACCAAGGCTCACAGACAATGTTACTTGCCCATGTCAACCAGCAACCAGCAAGTAACTTGAGGAGTGGGGAGCTAGACTGGAGTGTGAGCCTCCAGAGGCTGTGCTTATCACCCCTATCCCACAGGGAAAACCCCAGTGCTCAATGGTCCACATGCCTCAAATTCAACTCTCCTTTAATTGTTTTTGTATGTTTTTATTTGCATCTATTTGAAGATCCTAAAATTAAAAACTTAATTTAAAATTTAATTTTAATTGGAATAATTAAATTGGAATAATTTTCTGAATAACAGGAAATGCATCTACTTTTGAACATGCAATTCCTATTATTCAGAAAATACTGTTGGGTTGCTAGAGATAGAAAATAAATTGAATTGGTTATACTTTAAAATCCTCAAAAAGTTATGGTGGGGAATAAATGGATCCCTGCATGGAAGTGATTTTTGGCATCCTGAGGGTCCTGCCACCACCTAAAGCTAGGAATCTCCTCCACTTCCCAAGGTCTCTCCAATCTGCTGATCTCCCCAGCCCAGTTCCTAGACCAGCCCCTGGGGGGATATTAGTTCCAAGTGCCTTTGTTAAAAGTCTGTGGAAAGAATTGAGGAGGCCTGGACCTCTGCCTAAAGGCCCAAAGGATTTTCAAAGATTAAAAATCAGGACATGTGACAGATCTTCTGAGTCATTTCCCAGGGTTCAGGGCCTTTTTGGGTGAGGGTGTTTGGAAAGCTAAATCCTGTAATTCCTGGGAATTTGAGATGACCTAGGAGACTAGAAGTCCTAGAATTTCCAGGATGCCATGGATGGATGGGGAGCACAGCCAGTCAGGAAGGTGATCTCTGCTTCCCTGTGTGCCGGGGGCTTGACCCCTTTCCTGTCCCGGGACTTCTGCTTTGCCAGGCTGGCCCTCCTGGCTACCCTGGCTGGGTGCATGGGGGAGGGAGTTACTCACCTGCTATGAGCTCTGTCTTTTGGGATTTACGCCCACTCAGCTCCAGGAAGGAGTTGAGCCATGAGGAGGCGCCTAGGCGGAGGTCTCGGAGGAGCAGGGCTGTGTCCCGCCGTACCAGCCCCATCACGCCCAGTGCCTTCTCATCTGAATCAGAGTGGTCCTCTGTCTCCGCACCTGCAGAGTGTATGTGGGGGGTTGAGTGGGTCTCCTCTATTTCTGGGTCCAGTCTCAACACCCAGAACTTTAGGCATCTGAGCCCCAGGGGACCCAAGAACATCTGATCACTTCAGAAGAAACAAGGAGTCTCAGGTTCCTCTGCCTGGCCCCTCCTCTCAGTCCCAGGGGTCCAGGCCCCCAGTACCTCCTCCCTCAGATGTAGGAGTCCAGGCCCCCAGTACCTCCTCCCTCAGACCCCGGGTTCCCAGCCCCCTCTTCCTTCAGACCCAGGAGTCAGGATCCCCCTCCTCCCTTAGACATAGGAGTCTGGGCCCCTAGCCCCTCCTTCCTCAGACTCAGGGGTCTGGTTTCTCAGCCTCCTCCTTCCACAGACCCAGGAATCCAGGTCCCCAGCCCTCTCTACCATCTGACCCAGAGGACTGGGTCCCAATCCCTGTCCCTGCACGGTGCAGGTATCTAAGCACCCCTGCTCTGAGAGTGGGCCTCACCGGCATAGGCGCTGACACACTTCGAGAGCACGCTGAGGGGCAGCAGGGGGTCCATGAGGCTCAGCAGGCGGGAGGGAGAGGCAGCAGACTGTAGCATTGTGGCTGGGTAGGCTGCCATTATGCCATCTGGCACCCGTACCCCATAGGCTGCTGCCCGAAGGGACACAGTGAAGCAGAGGTTCCCACCTGCACTGTCCCCTGCAAGGCATATCCGCTCCCCTGTTGAGCCTGGTTGGGGTGGGAGGGTCTTGGTCATAGTGTGTCAGGGGTAGGGTTCTGGGGAGGGAGGGCAGGGAGGAACTCAGAGGTGGGGCATGGGGTTTCCCAAGGCCTAGCAGACTACAGTGTTAGAGACTGGTCAGTCAAGGCAGGGATTTGGACCCATTTGGTAGAGAGTGGTCAGAGGATCAAGAAGACTTGGGATGTGGAGAGGCCCAAGAGTCAGGAAGCTCTGGGAAAGTCTGGGGGGCTGGAGGTCAGCAGCAAGGAGGGCAGGTGGTGGGAGAGGCAAGCTCGAGGAGGGAGGGCATCAGAGGCTGGGAGAGGGAAGGTCAGGATTCAGGCTGACAGCACAGAAGGACTGGACCACAGCCTGCTCTGTGTCCTTGAAGAGGGAGATCAGAGGAGCTGGAGGGTGGGCTGGAGCATGGGCCAGGAGAGCAGGGGATGGAGCAACTGAAGGATGAAAGAACAAGCCAGAGGAGACAGGAGGAGGCTGGGAAATGGACTTAAGGTAGGTGGGGAGGTGGAGGAGATGGAGACTCAGGCTGGAAGGAGGGAGCAGGAGGCAGAGGATGAAGTGACTGAGATGGAAGATCGGGCAGGAGTGGGGTGAGCAGGTGGCAGAGGGTGTGAGGCTGAGGCTTGAGGAACTAGGTGGTTCAGCCCCCCCACCCCCCTTGCAGGATGAGATGGGGTGGTGGAAGCAGGTTGGGGCAGGGATGGGAGCAGGAGCGGGTAGCGGTGGGGGGTTTGGGCACACCAAGGAGGGCACAGTGCTTGATGGCCCAGCAGTAGGCGAAGAAGCACTCCTCCAGCGCGCGGGGGAAGGGGGCCTCGGGGGCCAGTGAGTAGTCGATGGAGAGGATGGGGGCACCCAGCTCGTGGGCCCAGCTCTTGAGGTAGGGCTCGTGGGATTTAGAGGTCTGGGCCACGAAGCCGCCGCCGTGGAAGTGCACTATCAGGAAGCGCGAGCGGGGTGCCTGCTGGGGCCGTGGCCGCAGCTCCAGGCTCCGCTGGCCCTCAGACTTCACCAGGCTGCTGAGTTCCTCACTATCCTGCGGGTGAGGAGGGTGCTGGGTGAGGCTGGGGTGGGCCTGCCTGGGCCTTCTCCCTCTGCAAAGGGATGTGCTCAGAGGCACAGGGTGGGTGCAGGAATGAGCAGTGGGAGGCAGGAGGACGTGGTGGGGCAGAGGTGTGAGAATGGCAGGAAGGGCATCTAGGGCAGGTGCTGGGGAGGGGCTGCCCATGCTCCTTGTCTCTGTTCCTATTCCTGGTTGAGGCCGGGGCCCTACCTGTCCTTCACGCAGATCATAGGAGATGAGCCTGACGAAGATGGGCCCGGGGCCCGTGTGGGCCAGCGGGGGTGAGATGGTGACTGTGAGTGTGGGGTCAGCAGTTAGCGGCATCTCAAAGGCCTCGGGCGGTAGGCTGAGCAGGCGGCTTACCCTCACGGTGGCTGATGCCATGTTGGCCAGAGACTGTGGGCAGGGAACAGAAGGAGTGCTAAGGAGGGGCTGCCTGTGGCAATGCCCCTCAGACCTCTTGCCTCCAATCTGCAGCCTTTCCCCTCATGTGCTATCCCTGGGCCTGGAGCCCTGTAGAGACTTGCTGTGGCCTCAGCTGGGTCTCTGGGTCTCAGTGTCCCCATCTATCACAGGTCAGGGCCCTTATTAGGCCCCATGCTCACCGATAGCACCTCAATCTCTGTGATATTCCAGAAGGCTTTCCAGAAGTGCACGTCCAGGTTCTGTATGATCCGCTCAAACTCGGCCCCTCGCAGCTCTGGGTCGATGGCAAAGCGTCCGCTGGTAAAGAGGGAGCTGGCAGTCACACCTGGGGGTCACAAGAGGTGTCAGGACACCCTGGTGGGTTAGGCTGCTTGGGCAGGGGTGGGGAGGAGGGACAGCAGGGAAGGGTGTGGCAGGGCCCTGCTGGCACTCACCGAGGCCTGTCTCATTGCGTTTGTAATGCTCCCCAAAGGACACCAGCCCGATGGAGATGGTCTGCAGGAATGGCCGGATGGCGGGCGTGAACTGTGGAGAGACACAACAGCATCACCCACCTACCTAGGAATGGGACAGGGACAGGGCAGGAGTGAGGTGCAAAGACACATTAAGCATTTTGTGAGCTCACGTTAAACATTTCGTGAGCTCCTACTGTGTGCCAGGCATGGCTCTAGGCCCCTTCAAGGACCTGATGTTCTCGAAGGGAAGAGGATGATAAGCAAATAAACAAAGCCACATGCAATATAACGTCAAGTAACAATTAATGATTTGAAGAAAAAGACAGTAGGTGGAGGGGACACAGAGTGATGACCAGGGGTCAGGCTACTTAGATGGGGTTCAGAGAAGGATGTGAATGAAGCAAGGGAAAGGTGTTCTCTGCAGCGGGCCCTGAGGTGGGCCCGAGTGGCATGGGCAGTGAAGGCCAGGGGGCCGCTGTGGGGGGAGCAGAGTGAGTGTGGGAGAGGGGCAGGAGGTGAGGGCCTGGGCTGAGAGCTGAGGAGTAGGATGATGCAGGGATTTCCTAAAAGTTACAGAGAGAGGACAGAGAGATGGGGCAGCCGGAAGACAGAAACAGGGAGATGGTCAGAGACAACTAGACAGGTACAGAGATCTTGAGGCAGAAAGACAGCCAGATGGGGAGACTGAAGCCCTGAGATGGGGGCAGACAGCTACCCTAGAGAATGGGAAGATACTGGGCCGGCCCGTGGCTCACTCGGGAGAGTGCGGTGCTGATAACACCAAGGCCCCGGGTTCGGATCCCATATAGGGATGGCCGGTTTGCTCACTGGCTGAGCGTGGTGCTGACAACACCAAGTCAAGGGTTGAGATCCCCTTACCGGTCATCTTTTGAAAAAAAAAAATCAAAAACAAAACAACTCGGGAGAGTGTGGTGCTGAGAATGGGAAGATACAGCATCTGAGAGAGGAGACAGGCAGTTAAGAAGAGACATGGGGAGACAGGATCGGAGGCAAGCTTTAAGTGACAGGAGGCCAAGGCAAGGGGCTAGCACAGTTCTTCTGTTCAGTAAACAAACACTGGCCAAGGTACTACTGCGTGTTAGACACCGGGTTGGAGACAGGGGAGGCCTCTGCCCTCCTGGGGGCTGAAGTTCTAGAGGGGGAGGTTCTGTGCCAGAGCAAAGCCGGGCTTTCAGAGAATAGCTGTCAGGCATGGTCCTGCCTCTGGCTGGTGGCCCAGTAGGCCAGAGAGCACAGGGGTGCCTGGCCATTGTGGCCAGGATGCTGGTTCAGGCAGCCCTGGTATCTTTTTCTCGTGACTTCAAGGACACAGCCGGCACACAGAGAGAAGCTGGCTGAGCCAGCTTCTGATCAATACTTGTCGGTTGACCCTGGGTGAGGGGAGGTTCCTAGGAATGCCTGGCTGGGTTGCTGTGAACAGACTGGTCCACAGGAAAGCCTGGTAAGGTAGGGTGGAACGGGGAGGCTGAGGGACTGCCAAGCTCTGCTATCACTTAGGTGGGGGGAGGCCCAGAGGACAGGGTCACACAGTTCCAGATAGTCCTACTGGGGTTCCGTGATGCAGCTGGGGACTGGGGGACCTAGCACCAACCCCAGACAGTATTCTGAGCCTCTGCTCTGGGCCTGGTGTCCCAAGACCCCCCAATTCTCCAAGTCCCCAAATCACTTTTTACACAAGTCTGAGAGCCTTTGGGTGTAGATGAGCTTTAGTGTATAGATGAGCGGTGTCTCCCTAAGGGTGGTTTGAGATGGCAGAGGGTAAGAGAAGGCCTACAGCTAGGGTCAGGATGCCTAGTTCAGGGAGGAGAGAGGCCACAACCAGGTCTTCCTCCCTGTCACCAACTCTGATGGGCTAATTGGCCCTCCTTCCAGCCTGAAAATCCTGTGATTCTACAGCTCCTAAAGTGAATCAAAAAGCCCAGGTCCCAGCCTAGCAGCTATGAGCTAGCACCTGACCCCCTCCCAGGACTCCAGTGGAGATGACTGAATGGGGCATGCTACAGAATAGGCCTTTGAGACCTCCTAGGGGTCTGAAACTCAATGACTTCAGGGGCCAGACAGGTAACATAAATGAGTGAATGAATCTCTTGAGTATAGGGCAATAGAGAGTAGTGGATATCCTGATGGAAAAAAGTTATGCAAGTTAAAGATTTCTTTCTATACTGTACATCTGGCACAGGGACCATGAGTTTGAGACCCCTGGTGCTGCTGTCTGAGCTCCAGCCAACTTCCCCTTTCTGTATCTACTGCTGTCTGAATCCAATAATACTGACCATTGTGATTATTTTACCATACCATTGGCCAGGTTAGGGGCCATCAGGTGCCTTCACTGTGGGCACAGAGGGGCACGGGGCAGGGGGCTCACCTGGAAGCCCAGGCAGCGGCCATAGAAGCAGCCCTTATGCAGTGTGACATACTCGCGCAGAAAGTCGGCAGTGAGCCCCTCGTCGCCTTCGAAGAAGAGCCCCCCGGGCTGATTGGTGGCCAGCAGGCGCTGAGCGTAGTAGGCCAGAGCACGGAGCTGGGTGAGGGCAGCCAGGTAGGCCTCCAGTTCAGCCAGGTTGTGGCTGGTGCGGAAGAAGATGCTGCGGCGGTTGGAGGCCACATAGCGGGATTTGTGCAGTAGGTGCGCCAGGCAGCAGCGGGCTGTGTGCACTAGGCTGCGGTACCCATTGGCTGGCGTCTCTGCGTCCAGGTCAAAGAGGTGCGCCATGCCCAGCAGGCGGCCCAGGGCTGGCTCCAGCCCCAGCGCCTGCTCCCGCACACCTGCAAAGACGTCCGACAGCCGCCGTGCTGTCTCCCCAGGGCCCTGGCTGGAGAAGAAGGCCATGTTGTCCTCTGCCAGAGTCACCAGCGACTGTGTCATTGTGTGCAGGTCCATGCTGTGCAAGAGCCTTGAGGCTGTGGGTAAAGGGGAGGCCTCTTAGGCAGCGCTGGATCAATCCTTGCTCAGCTGGGGCCCAGAAGTCCAGGTCCTATACCCCTTCTGCCTCAGGTACAGGCCCCCAGACCCTCCTCCATCATACCCAGGCATCCA